GTTGAAGTGGATCCTGTTGGTGGAGTTTTGGTACAACACCAGCCTCCACCCCTCCATCAATAGAACACCGTTCGAGGTACTTTATGGCCACCCCCTCGCCATTTCGGTATTTCAGCTTCTTCAGTCACTTCAGCTCCTGAGGTGGAAGCATTACTGACTGAGCGTAACACTATGCTGGTGTATGTGCGACAACACCTTCTCCCGAGCTCAACAACGCATGAAGACTCAGGCAGGCAAGCGCCGGTCGGAACGCTCCTTCGCCGTCGGCGACTCTGTCTACCTCAAACTTCAGCCGTACGTACAGTCCTCATTGGCGCTGCGCGCTCACCAGAAGTTGTCGTTCCGCTACTTTGGCCCCTTCAAGGTGATCGAGAGGATCGGCTCCATCGCCTACAAGCTGGAGCTTCCTCCGTCTTCCTCAATACACCCGGTGTTCCACGTGTCGTTGCTCAAGCCCGCTACATCGACCAAATACATCGTCTCGCCGTCCCTCCCCTACGTCGACGACGACCTCTAGATACCTGAAGCTGTGCTCCAGCGACGCCTTCATCCCAGGCATGATGGTGTGGTTCCCCAGGTGTTGATCAATTGGTCCGGACTTGATGCGTCGCTGGCAACCTGGGAAGATGCAGAAGCTCTCTAGCAACAATTTCCACAAGCTCCGGCATGGGGACACGCCGGATCCCAAGGAGAGGGGATGCCACGGTGCCACACCTGAGTCAGCCCAAGAGAGCCTAGGAGAGAAGAAGCACTAGAGCCCGCCGCAAGAGTGTAAAGGTCCATGGCCCGCAGTGGGCTTGTAATCGATGCGAGGTCTAGCTAGAGAAGTAGAAAGGGGAATCAGTGATCGTCTGAGGGGAATCAATCAAACCTGTATCCAGTTTTCTAAACCTAAGCACTTATCCGAGACCTCTTCGGCCTGTGGCTACCACCCTTGCGTCGTGCTCGTGTCGTACGCCGCTGGTGACTGCCGGCTGCTCACACAGGGCCAGGAGTCGTCGAGCCTGGCGTGGACTTCATGGACGGACGGAGAGGAACTTGGGAGGGGCAGTGGCGGCGGCGCCGTTTCTCGCTTCGATCGACGAGCGAACATCAGGCTAGGGCTATCAGGGATGGGAAGAGGGAAAATTGCTACCGGAGGGAGAAAATAAGAGACGATGCACACAGGATCGAGAAAGGTCCATAGCCTGCGTCCCTAATCGACTAGCTCAGCGCTAAATCGGCACTACGGCATGTTTTGTGTGCTGCAGCTCGGCGCAACCTGCGTCGCCAAACTGCTTGTCCCCTTCCTTTTCTCTCTCTTCCACGTAGGATTACTCTGAGTTGTTATAAGCCAAGTGACGTGGCCTTTGTACCTGCTCTTATGATTGATTGATTGATTAGATTGTACTCGTGTGATTAGTGTGCGCTGAGCAGTACGTACTGGTGCATTTGTGTGGCTACTGGATAACTACCCCGGGCGGCAGCTACTCGAACGACGAGGCCTAGCAGATGATCATGCTTCGCCTGCGAACCATGTCGGCGCACGCAGCCCACGGCTGCGAAGGTGTTTGATTCCGCTATTAAAATTGGAGGTGTATCGGAAGAATGTTGTATAGGATGTTCGGATCCTAATAAAAAAATAAATTACATAATTTGTCGGTACTTCACAAGACGAATTTTTTAAACCTAATTAATCCGTCATTAGCATATGTTTACTGTAGCAAAACATGGTCAAATCATAGACTAATTAGGCTCAAAAGATTCGTCTCGCAAATTAATCACAAACTATGTAATTAATTTCGTAATTAGTCTATATTTAATAATATATATATATATATATATATATATATATATATATATATATAAACATTGATAGGACAGCGACTAAACTACCGTACACCCCGTGCGTCTCCGACACCAACAGGACTCGTCGCCGCCGAGGAAGGTAGCCAACCAGCGGGCGTTGCACGCACCCTCAGGCCTCTGTCAGGGCGGTAACGATGCGCTGCCGCTGGAACTGGAAGCCGTCGACGAGAGCCACCGTACATCAGGCATTCAGGCTGGTTCATTCAGTGTGGCTTACGGCCTTACGGGTGGCCCCAGATATACAGCAGGCCCACTGGAAGCGAGTGATTCACCACCTCAGTTAAGTTCACCTTGTTTTACTTGACCCTCGTAATGTGGGGCCTGTTCTGCACTGCCTTGAGTTGTGGGTCCCGTCGCTCATGTCGTCAGACTCATCCGTGAAGGTGGAGAAATGACCGCAGAGCGCTTGCAGTGAATCTACAACGGTCATTTTCCGCCTTCCGGTTGGTTCCTGCCTCCCAGCGGTTTGAAAATGTGACCGTACGCCGTACCGGTGAAGTGCCCTGCAAACCGGTGGATATAGGTGGCACTACTGTACTTAGAACTAGGGCGCTGTTTGGTTCATGTTTAGTCAAAAAGAGTGGTTAATTATAACGGAACTATTTGTCGGTGTTATCTGTTACTATTTAACGAGAAACGCCAAAACTATTTTGTCCGTGTTATCTGATACTATTTAACAGAAAACGTCTATTCGTTTAGTTTGTTGTGTGAATAGCTAAGCTAACTGATATTATCGGGAGGTGGATGAGACACTACTAAAAAAGAGTGGTAATAATAACGGAATTATTTGTCAGAGCTATCCGTTACTATTTAACAGAAAACATCTATTCGTTTGGTTTGTTGCGTGAATAACTGAGCTAACTGATGCTGTCGGGAGGGGGATGGTAAGGGCTTTGCACATAGCCGTATCGGTGGACGGGCCTCGATTGAACTGGGCGAACAATTTTGAGCCAACCGAGAAGTTGGATAGTACTCCGTACATGAATCATTAGCCAGTAGCCACATTGATGCTCTACTGAATACCATACCTGACAATCGATTGCCCTGTTCGTTTGAACTTATCAACCGTATCATTTCAGCGAAATCATAGTATTTTTCTCTCACGACAAATCAGCATCAGCATCAGCATCAGTCGTTTTTTCAACCAACCGAACAGGGTCATCAGACTGTACTGATTACCATATCAGAGATCATTTAAAGAACGTGGGCTGTTCATAAAATGACTTCATAAAATAGGAAGCAATAACACATCCAAAACAAGACTTCAACCAAACAAAATCCAAAACACGTAAACATGAAGAAAAGGAAAGAAAATAGAAATAAATAAATAAATAATACCAAAAAAGTCTCCCAAAATCCTCAACGTCTCAAAAAGAGAGGCAGTCACGTCATGTTTCACACGCCCGCGAGCCGTTTCACTTCTCACAGTTCTCCCCCCTCCTCGGCTCTTCCTTGAGGCTTTTATATGTGTGCCATTAAAAAAATTTGTAATTACACACAAGCCATTAAAAAAATTGACCGCACACAGGTGTCACTGCTCTAAACTTATTTGCCTTACAAGCCATTCCGTCCGTGTTCTGCTTGTTTTTCGCCGTTTGGTGTGGGACCGGCCAGTGAAATTGTCCATATTACCCTTGACGGTCCCACACCAAACAGCGAAGAACCCTGGGGGGAGAGAGAGCGCGGGGACGGCTCCGGCTCACAGCAACAGCGGCGCGCGGCCTCCTCCCTCCCAGCGGCGCACACGGCGGCCCTTAGAGGCGACGCGGACGGCCTCCTGGAGCCACCCGCCGGCCTCGCGCCGCGCGCCCCTTGGATCGCGGCCCCCCGTCACTGGAGCGCCGCGGCCACCCTCCTGGAGCACGCGCCACCGGATCTGCCGACGAGGAACGGCGGCGCCCCGGCTCCCCTCTCCACGGCAACGAGCAGCGAGGCCACCAGGGCACCTCCTTGCTCTTCCCGGGCGGCGTCCACTTCCCCTTCCTATCCCCACCGGTGGTGCATCCAGCATCTTGGGCGTCACGCGCCTGTGGCGAGTGCGCGACGAGGCTAGGGGACTGAGACGACGACGGCGCCCTGGAGCTAGCGGCCGCGCGCGGGTATGGCTACGGCAGACGACAACGGTAGCGGGCGGCTGACGAGGAGCGCAGCGGCAGATCTGGTGAAGGAGATGGCGACGACGGGCGTGCGGTGGGGCAGCTACGAGCTCGGCCGCGTTGACGGTGACGGGGCGCAACGAGGACGACTAGGCGCTCGGCCGCGCGGACGGTGACGGGATCCAGACGGGTGAGGAGTAGCTAGGCGCCGCCGGATCTGGCGACGTGGCGCGTCGGCGCCCCGGCTCCCCTCTCCACACGACGAGCAGCAAGGCCACCGGGTCCACCACGACGGACGACGGAGTCATGACTGCCTGGGAGGTCGTCGGGCCGAGTCACGGGTCGGGTCGCCGAGGAGCAGGCGCTGGCGCGCGGCCGGGCGCGGGGCCTGGAGCGTGTGCGGTCGCCGGGGGAGCGGGGCCGGGGCCGTCGCCACCGAGGGTGCAGGGCGGTGCGGGGGCGGGGAGCGTGGGGCTAGGCCGTCGGGGTCGCAGGGCGGGGCTGGTGTCGGGAGGTGCCGGGGGCGAAGGGCGGGGTCGAGGCCTGGAGGTGCCGGGGGCGCAGGGCCGGGCCACCGGGCGTGGTGCTGACGACGCGCAAGGGGAAGAAGACAAGGAGGAACACAGAGAGAAAGAAAACTGAGGTGGTGAATCGTAGTCGGTTTCCACCGCCAAGGGTAATATGGACAATTTCACTGGCCGGTCCCACACCAAACGATGAAAAACAAACAGAACACGAACGGAATGACTTGTAAGGCAAAGAAGTTTAGAGCAGTGGCACATGTGTACGGTCAATTTTTTAATAATTTATATATAATTACAAACTCCTCTTCCTTTCCTTCCCCTTGAAGTCCCCTTCCCCTCCGTCTGCTTTCGTCAGACACCCCCCACAGAAACCACCCAAAAACCGCGCAGCCGGCCACTCCCCCACGCGCGGAGTGCTCTGGTTTTCCCACTCCCGGTGCCCGTTGGCGCAGTCTGAGGCCGGGGTGGGCGCTTGCATTGCCGCGGCGGCGCTCGGCGTTTCCAGCGAGCGGTTACGAGGGGGGCCGCGGAGATGGTCCACTCCAACGCCAACGCCCTGCTGTGGAAGAAGGGCCCGGTCCGGACGGTGTGGAAGTTGTCGGCCTGCAAAGAGTCAGAGCTCAGCCGGGACAAGGTCACGCGCACGGACATCGTCGCCGCCGTTGGTAACGACTCCATGTCGCCTCCTGCAATGCGAGAGAAATCCCTCTCTTTTTTCACTGGTTTGTTAGAGTAGTTTGTGCACGGATAAGGGTTGGGCCAGAGGGGTCCTTCTCTAATCCAGTAATTTGTGATGTTGGTTTGGAACAGTGCGAGAAGCGGGGAGAAGGGAAGGGTTTATGTAGGAGTTTAGGTTTAAATTTAAAGGCCGTATGCGAGGGGAATTTGGGCTCGAGAACATGGGCACGAGGGGAGGAAGGCTTCTTGTGTGTTTGGTGTCTTTTTTCCCTGCGGTGTGGAGTTTGTGTAACTCAGATTTGTCATCTCAGTCTTGGTTGTATCTTTATAGACGGTTTTGGCGAGTGCAAGGTTTGGGGGGGTTTAGGTCAGGGAGGGTTTCATTGATGCCATTTGAGCATAATCCCAACAATCAGGTGCACCATACAGACTTACCATGTCAAGCAATTCATCCATCTGTCTGCCAACTTGTAGCCTTGAATTGGATGATGATCTGTCCAAGTGTTGTTAGTGATGTTGATATAAAGGGGGCACCTTTCTTTTTATAAACCAAACTATGTTGTTCAGGAATTCTCCTAATGGGTTTGTAATGCTATCGCTTTTCATTTCACCATTGGCAGATGAGATTATTTTGGATGTGCACAGCGAACATGGACTTCGCCTCGAAGTACTGGCAACGCTTCTGTTTGGAATTGTTAGGATATTCTCCAAGAAAATAGATTTCATCCTCCATGATTCCTATGAGCTTCGTCGGTCATTTCAACTAAGTCAACTTGCTGAACCTACTGTGCCAAGTGGAAGGCCGACAACCAGAGTTTTGAAGCAAGTGAATAAAGATGTCCGTGTAGGAAGGTCAGTGGCAGGCCAGCAAAACACCAGCAAAGTAACAAAAACTGTTCATGCTGTGAGAACAACTGAAGTCTCTAGTGCAATATCAAGTGAAGGCCACTCTGTAATGGTAGAAACAGAAGTTACTGTAGGGATATCTGTGGTAATCAAAGAAGCACGTGTGCCAAATGGTCTGCCAACCTTCACAAGACCGACAAGATTTGAGCTTGACTCTTTTGATTTGGGGATTGATGAAGATACGTAAGAATTCCTGGTCATATACTAGTCTCATTATTACATGGAACGTGGTTTCTTAGCTATACTCTCAACCTTTTTTTGCAGAGATGATGAAGGTGATGACCACCATCAGTCGGCACACCAAGGTAATAATGTCACTACCATTTGCCTTTACTTATATTGTTCTGTTCTCATCGGTTTTGTTATATTGGGATACTTCAACCAGACCTCTGCATTTTGGACCTAGCAATGCATATAATTGAAAAGTTGCAAATATGTGCCTATTTTCTTTTGATTGTTAAACATTTTATACATCCCCTGCTTTGTTTTTTTGTATAGATATTGTACTGAGAGACGAGAGACATCATGCCCCCTATTTTTATGAGGTACGCAGCTCCCTCTCCTACAATCTGGGCGGTCACTTTGGCATGTGCATGGACCCACGATGGATGTGTGGTGTTAGTTTTTAATATATGTAGTTCCAAGTTAGTTTCATCTCTTTCATGAACTATTTTGCAAAATAATTAGTTAATTACACTCAGTTTCATCTTAGACATGTGGTACTCTTTGAATTAAGATGCAATATTGCTGGCTTCATCTTATTTCTTTGCAAAACTGAACCTTAAAGTTTATTCAATGCTACAGCCTTATCAGACGACACCATGTTCATATGCTGTTGATTCTGCTTGTTTTATGCCGGAATACATGTAAGCACCCGAGCTTCCTCCTAATGATGCTAAAAGAACGTTATGTCCTCTGGATTTCTGAGCTTCCTTGTAATGCAGTGCTCTTCCAAATAATATTCTCGACTTCACTGAAGGGGATAAACCTGAAATAGAAGACAAGGATGCTGATTCTGCTTGGTTCACACCATTGAAGGAGTAAGTATACTCGCTGTTGCCTTCCTGTCCTTAACAGCACAAGAGCACATTTCTTCTCTTGCTGATTCCTAAAATGAATTTGTAACAGTGTTCTTCCACCTGAGATGATGGATCTGGTGGCTGAAGCAAAGGATCTTGCAAAGGAAAGCAAAACTGGGGATAATTCTGTAAGGGAAGTGAACACGGATGAGAATAATGGGGGTTCTGATTGTACTGTGATTTCTATCCCTCTGCAAGAGTGAGTAAAAGCTACATTTTTTCCCACAAATTTTCTTTTGGTACAGCTAATCATTTACTTCAAGATCTTTAGGTCGTACTGTTAATAGATCTTGATCAGATTAAGCATGTTTGAAACAGAAATCAAGAACTGCAATACTCTGATAATGCTCTGGAGAATATGGCTTGTGGAAGTAGGAGTGCAAATTACACAACTGAAGCATCAGAAAATGATTCACTGCTAGGAAAATTGAATACTGCCGCACCTGCAGCAGGATTTCCAGGGCTTGGCAGTGACACTGGAGAAGAGTCACTTGAACCTCTTGTCATAAGATGTGAAACAAGGGCAGATAATGAGTTATCACCTTCTACTCCGGAGCCTTTGCAAGAGGGTATCCCAGGTCTGTTTTGTGACAAAATTATCTGCTCTACTTATGGTCTTAATCATACTCATTATGGACTTCTTTACTTCTGATCCAGGGCCATCCTCTTCTTCTAGATTTGGGGTTAGGACACCAGCTAAAACTGAGAAGAGCCAGGCTACTAGAAAAAGAAGAAGATCATTCTTATACAATAAGCAGGATTATATACAGACGGAACGAGAAAGCCAGCGGAGGGTTAGGAGAAAGTTAACTTGGTCATTGTTTGATGATGAGGGCACCGTGCTGTCAAATGAGTAAGAACAACTTCTAGCTTGCTTGTACAAACTCTTTCACCAGTTGCAATACTTGTACTTGATTGTTTGAATATGTTGGTGTAGTAGCTATTGTTACCTTATGCTGTCCTTACCACCTTAAGCTGGGTTTGGGCATATCTGATAAATCTCGGCACACATTTGTCTTTCATATATATTTAAGACAAGTTTTTTTTAGGGAAATACAGTAGGGGAAACCCCTACTGTGGTAATATATATAAATATATAAAGAGTAAGCAAAGCTGTACAGAACCATCAAGGGTAGACTAAAAAACTTTACAACAGGCTATTTGGCCAAAGGGAGAGACTGAGTCTAAGAGCAGGCTTAAATCTGTGAAAATGCATATCTCATAGAAGCTTTTTGGTTGGAATTTCCAATTTTCCATAAGAGGGCTTGGGATATCTCATACAAACTTTTTGGTTGGAGACTGAGTCTAAGAGCAGGCTTAAATCTGTGAAAATGCATATCTCATAGAAGCTTTTTGGTTGGAATTTCCAATTTTCCATAAGAGGGCTTGGGATATCTCATACAAGCTTTTTGGTTGGATTTTCCATAAGAGAGCTTCTCTGTATCTTTTAACAGGGAACATGTATAATTCAAACCATAATCATTGGATAATGGTTAGGAACATAAAACATTTAGTATGAGTAGTAAAAATCAACATGGCAAAATAGCTTTCATTCTAATTTCATGCCTTGCTAATTCAAAATCCCAAAAGCTGGTTTGTTGGTGTTTAATTATATAGCCTCACTAGGGTTTATTGACCATAGTTGAGTGGACCTTTACCTGCTATGATTTTAAACCAGATGAAGTGATTCAAGAAACCTAACCAAGTCAAACAAGCCATAGACGTTTTCTCATTGAAGTTTTGTTCACTTCGAACACCTGAATTGAATGGCAGGGGGTTTTGTTTTCCATATTCTTCATTTTCCTTTTTGTTGGGACTAGGTAGATGGTGGTCTGCACTTTCTTCGAAGTGATATCAGAATATTATGGACCGTGCCATGGTTCCACTGAACTGTAACATCTTATTATTTTGGTAATATATTTTAGTTACTTCTTATTGTAGGATGTTGAGAGGAGCAATAGAGAATGCAAGTGATCTTGTGCAGCTGAGAAGGAAGGCGCCTCACACTCATCTTGATATTTGGAGGGTGGCAAAATTGGGATCTCTGCCATACACCTTCATGGATCCACTGATTCCATGTAGGTCACTTATTTGTCACTTATTTATTCTTCATTAGGTGCAATTATTGATGTAACCTTTAATAACTGAGTGTGTCCTCTTATTTTGACAGATCAGACTACAACCCCCCTTGCACACGGTACTGCACCAGAGGCACCTGAAAGTTCATGCGAGGAATCAGTTAAAGCCCGGAGGCGTCTTTCCTATGAACACTCTGAATCCATCCATGCTTGCAAGGATACTGGAAGCACAGAACGAGAAAGCATTTTAGATGCATCAAGAAAGAGGAAACTGGAAGAGCCAATTGACCCTGAGGTTCCTGTTGACTGTCAAACAGAAAGTTGGCCTGTTCAAGATGAAGTTTGTGCATGTAATGAAGATACAATCAAAGAGAAGAGCACTCAAGTCAAAGGAGATGAACCTAGTTCCAAAGCACCACCGAAGAACGGACTACATGAATCAGAAAACCAAATTCCGTTGCACATTGAAGCACTGAATGCTGCTGTAGATAATATAGATGAGGTAAGCTATGCACCAAACCCGCTTGATAGAATCGTCTATGATTTACGATGCAAACTAATGCTTTTGAAATGACATTCGCTCGCAGGATATTCTTGTGGACGAAGAGCACTCCAGAGATGAAGGTTTATAGAACTGTTATAGCTTGTGCTTATGCTGTGATGTTTCTTAAGTTTGCCAGGCTCTTATATACACGTTGCTGTTTTGCAGGTTTGCAGAATTCAACCAGGACTAGGTAGCTAATGATCTTGTTCTGTTGCTTATAACTATTTCCTTCCTGCTTCTGCCCCACTAGTCTGTTGCTTATCGCTTATCTGAATTTACTAATTTAGGAAAATAGCAAGTCTCCTCCATCAGCTATTCCTGGACCAGAAGAGAAAGGAGGGAACTACTACTTTAAGTCTCAGTCAAGTCCTTGAAGGGACAAAGAGGAAAACTGCAGCATCATTCTTCTATGAAACTCTGGTATGGTTTCTGTAATTTCCTGCTTGAATGATAATCTGTGTGACTTCAGATTTCTTTGTTGAAAGATGGATCTGGCTTTGTATTGCTATTGGGTAATGATAATTCAAGTTCTGTTCATATTTCCGTTCCAATCCTGAGCTATTCTTTCCTTTCTTGCGGCCAAATCAAAGTATATACTAATAAAAAAGGGGGATGCTATGAATCTTGGGCATCTCATTTTCTTAATTTCATCCATCATAGTTCCACTCTATTCACTAGAAATTATCTGTACTTTGCAGCTTATTAGTATTAGTAAATAGTAAAATCCTTGTATCCTTGTGCATGTTTTTGCCTGCAGGTTCTGAAGAACCGTGGGCTTGTAGAAGTTAAACAAGAACAGCATTATGATGATATCATACTCTCAGCGACTCCAAAACTTGAAGCAGAGCTTCAGCGCTGTGGGAACTAATTGTCAGATTAGCTTAGCATGCTCCTTTGTTTAAGGGGAGTTTTATGGCCAGACCTAACTCAGTATTATCTATTTCATGTAGTATCTTTTAGATGGTGGTTCGAATTCAGATGTATATATGAGCTGCTCATGGGCGCATGTGTATGAGCGTTAGCTGGTTAGGAGCATAGGATATGTTTGAGTTAATGATTTAGTTCTAATCTGTTGACAGATGTATATCATGGTTCTCTTCTCTAGTGTTGAATGTTCGATGGCATTTGCCAGTATCGTTTCATACCATTTGAGTATTCTCGGGCAAATCACATACAGTTTCTTCTGTCCAGCGTGTGAAGTCAATTTAATTTTCGAAGCTCGTCATGCTGTTAAAATTGCCAAACACATTTATGGTATTTGGTTTGAGGTCACTTCATCTTAGATGATATGGTGTGCATCTTGAGTCGATTTCTCAAATTTTGTGAAATGACTTTATTTTTACTAGTACTAATAATTATTATGTTGTGAGGAATGAGATGATGATGTATCAACCTACTCGGCTATCTAATTTCATAAACCAAACAAAGGTTATTCTATTTTACCGACTAAACAAAAAGTGAGAAATGAGTAGACGGACTTACCCATTCGGTTCGTTTTTTTCCCACATGTGATTGTTGAGAATTTTGTTCTAATTCTGAGACAAGCAAGCACTTCCAGCGCTTTTTTTTATGAAGGAGAGAAAGCGATCGTATGTTCACTCTGAACGCCTTTACTATAGTGAATGGTTTGTGATCAACGGTTGTAACGCCCTTGACTCCTTGGGCAGTAGAGCGGCTCTAGCTTAAAAAGCCAACGAAATCTTGGTGGCTAAGAGCATCTCCAGCAGTACTATCTAAAAGCATATTTAGTAGGCTACCTAAATCCACTACCTATCCTATATTTGGATAGTGGAGAGAAAAAAACCGTCTCCAGCAGGCTATCTATCAGACTACCTATTTTTGTTTGCCCAACAAATTTCCTCTCCCACTACCTACGGGTCAACAAATCTACCGACCTATTTTTCTCCTTCTACTGTATGCTCGGTCACGCGTAGGAGCCCGACGTTGTCGGCCGCAGGAGCCTCCCGACGATTCCCTGGCGTCTCCCCGGCGATGGCCTGCCTCCTCAGCGACTTCTCGGCGAGGGCCAACCTTCTCCCCCATCTCCAACGACTCCCAGCCTTCTTCCCCATCTCCGGCGACTCCCAGCCTTCTTCCCCATCTCCGATGACTCCCAACCTTCTTCCTCGCGGTCGCAGATCTCTAGCGCGGCAGCTGTAACACCCTCGGTGTTACACCCTAAATCATTTAAAAAATAAGCGTGTCATAAGCATCATGTTTATGTGTTAATGCATGTGATAAAGTGTGTAGATCAATTTCTGTAACTCAAAATGATCAATAAAAACGCGAAACGAAAGTTGCTCCACGATTCGTACATTTAACAAGTAGGGTTTAAAACCAATTTTTATTAAGCAAAAATACTATAGAACATATGTGCGATACTTAAATAAAGTTTGAAGTACAAACTTTGTAGATGATAATAAAATACTTGGTATTTAAAAAGAATATTGCTAAGAAATATTTTCAGTAGCTTAGAAATGCAATATGAAGTTAAGATTAGCTCAAACACTTAGAAAATTTCTAAGCTTGTGGACAGCTAGACGCTGCTATGTTTAGCAATTTATTTTGAGAGATTGGGTTGAGGAGTGTGAAAGGATCAAGATGTCTAAGAGGGGGGTGAATTGGGTTAATTCTAAATTTCTTTACAATAATTAAACATTACGGTTAGCCCAATTAACCTCTTGTGCCTAGAAAGTATTTCTATTAATCTATCGCACAAAAGTTTAGCGACCTATATTTCAATCCTACTATAATATGGTAATTCTATGAATGTAAATGACAAGAATTGAATTGCTCAAAGTAAATGCTCAAAGTAAAGAGAGGAGGAACACAGTAATATTTTGCCGAGGTATCGGAGAGTCGCCACTCCCCACTTGATCCGCGCAAGGATCAAGTACTCGCTACGGGTTGATTCTTCGACACTCCATCGCGGTGAATCACCCACAACCGCTCATAACTTGAGTTGAGTCATCCACAAGCTCCACCGAATGATCACCAAGCTTTCAATCACCACCAAGCCATCTAGGTGATGGCGATCACCAAGACTAACAAGCATGAACTCTCACTTGACCACGACAACCCTAATGATAAGGGTGGATGCACACTTTGCTACTATTACTTTCACTAATGAGGGCTCTCTTTGAGATTCTCAAATCTCAAGCACCTCACTAAGGCCTTACTCTTCTTGGCACTCTCAATGTTGTTTCTCAGCTGTTGCAATGAGCAAAAATACCTTCTCACACGAATGGAGAAAGTATTTATACACCCTGTAAAAAATGAACCGTTATGTGCCTCTACGGGGTGACCGGACGCTCCGGTCAGTTCACCCCGACATCCAGTGTTTAAGTTGCGACTGGATGCTGGACAGCGTCTGGTTAGCACTGACCGGACGCGTCCGGTCACGATCTTCCCTCTCTGGAACCTTACTGGAGTCGACCGGACGCTGGCACCCAGCGTCCGATCGCTCACCTCTCAGCGTCCGGTCGTACCAGATGATTTCACCTTGATCAAATGAACTGACCGGACTCTGAGCTAGCGTTCGGTCACACCGGAACCAGTGTCCAGTCAACATTTGACCCTCCATTTACTTCCAACTCTCAATCATATGTGAATGAAATTTGCTCCATTGGATCTAAGGGTTATTTTGGAGCTACCTAGTGCTAGATTTAGCAAGTGTACACCACACCTAACCCACTAGACTTACCTAGGTCAAGCTACCCGTTCATACCCCCTTAATAGTACGGCCAAAGAAAAAACAAAGTCCTAAACTACTCTAAGTGTCTCTTCAACACCAAACGACACTTAGAACTAGTCCATCCTTAATCTTGTCGTTCATCGTTTGAAAACTAAAACAATTTCCATCGTAGGGGCATGACAACCATAATTGCCCAACCGATCTCCATTACCGTGACCTAACTTAATTGTCTCTACAAAACACATGTTAGTCACAGTAATCATGTATTGTCATTAATCACCAAAACCCAACTAGGAGCCTAGATGCTTTCAATCTCTCCCTTTTTGGTGATTGATGACAATACCACCTCGAGTATGTGAAAGAGTTGAGGTTTTTAACATGCATGGTTCATATAAGCTTTTGACCATAAGAACAAAAGAGTTAAGCAAGCTTATATGACCCAAGCCAACATGATGTACTCAATAGATATGAAATAAGCATGAGTACAAGTAATAAAGCTCATTCGCATCAGAGTAAAACGCGGAAGCAAAGCAAATGAGCATAACACAAGTGATATGACATATAAATAATTCAAAGTAGAGAGCACACATGTCACATATCACATAAATATCACGATCACATTAATATCACGATTACGATCACACTTATGTAGTTCAATGCATAACAGTAAACATGAATGCATAATGTATCACACATAAAACTCCAAATGTAATAGATAAGCTAATAAGTAAACTCCCCCTAAATAAATCGCTCCCCCTAAGTCTAACATACTCGATCCCTCTCCCCCTTTGGTGTCAAACACCAAAACCTACGGGTCGATTGGCGGGGCTGCAGCGGACGAGTCGAGCGCTAAGGTGCGAGGAGCGAGCTGAAACTGTGTGCCATCATCATCTGATCCTGAGCTCTGAACAGTTTGACCCTCTGTAACTGGAAGCTATGCTGAAGCGGTCTGGGTCGGATCAGAGACTGGAGCGACCATAGACTGTGCAGGTATGACTGTAGCAGGTGGCTCTAATGATGCAACAGAAGAAGAGAGTGTCTCTATAGTCCTAGTAATAGGTGCAACTGTGGAAGGACCTGGGACATGTAGATATGGCGGAGTAGGCTGCCCTATCAACTCACTGAATGAAGCACTAAGGCTCTTGGACATTGTAGTCTCTAGCACAAGCAGCGAGGAAGTCTGAGCTGGTGTGAAGCCTGTCTGAAAAGGTGTGAACTACAGGGCTGGCACTGGCGAGGCAAACCACTGGGACACCTGCTCTGTAGGTAAAGCAAACTGAGTAGCAGTCTGTCCCTGACTCTAAAGCCCACTAGGCTATAAAGCTGGAGTCATAGAAGTGGTGGCAGGCTGGGCTATCTGGGGTGAAGGCTGTGGCGGTGGAGCCCCAATAGCAATGACTACATGCTGCATAAAATCCAAGTAGCCGCTACTACATGAGAAGCTGCTGCTGATGCATGGCCTGCTGCTGCTATATGGCCTGCTGCTGCTGCTGGATCGCCTGCTGCTGTCGCTGGAACTCATCCTGCCTGGTCTGAAACTGTGCAAAAGTAGCGACGGTCTCCTAAGCCTGGCGAGCCTGATCCTGCCTCATCCGCTCAAGTATAGCAAGTAGAGCAGGGTCTGTCTGCGGTGCAGGTGGAGCTGAACTGGAGCTATGGGCCTCATGGTCATGTCGTCGAGGAGGCATCTGAGGGATATCCTGGTAGTCATCATCTGAGCTGTCGCTGGGGTTGCTCTCGATCATCCCCTCCTACTGAGCATCTAACTGCTCCTCCTCAGTAGCTGTTATGCCCCTGATGGTCTCATCCTGCTGGGCTGTAGTCTCTGGCACCTCTAGATGACGGCGCGGCTGGCTGGGTGTCCTCACTGCACTATGGTGGATCATCTGAGTCATGTTGTATGTAGGGAACTCTGTAGTAGCACCACTATATTCTGCCAGCATCTTAGGTGAATCAAGAATGTAATCCAGTGAGCATATGGCAGCTGCCTGTGACCCCTGAACCCCTCTGCAATAGTATCCTTCATCTCTAATAGAAGGAGATCCCAAATGTCAAACACGGTCTGCTGCATCAGAGAGTTTAGTAGCCATAACTGTATGCGAGTCAAGCCCTCACGATACCCCTCCTCAAAAGCAGAGTCCTCCTCATAATAGCATCAAGCACTCTAGCAGTAG